ATATATATATATATATATTAGGATGGGGCGAGGGAGGGAGAGGGGATGAGGGTGGATGGGTGAGTGGAAGGAAGGGAGGTGGGGAGAGGGGGGGAGAGAGTAGTTTAAATTTATTATTTAATAATAAAATTCTCCTTCTCGAACGCTGAGGCAAGGACATGCTGTTGTCACATTTCAACATGCCTGTCCATTGTCTTCATTGCGGACAAATGTTCGTGCACACAGATACGACATATTTATGCATGTGTGTACGCTCATTTCAAAAGTTTCTCTCTTCAGAGAGCACGCGCGAAGAGGCATATTTGTAGGTTTTACGCGATTAACTTTCTAGCGTGATTGTAGCCGGAGAAATATCTTAAGCAGTTTGTCAATAAGAGAATCAGGATTCGGTCTGGTGACTTCAACACTCTGCAGAGAATAAGATTATTCCTGCAGCATTAACCGCTTTTTTCTATGCTCTAGCGCATCCAGAGATCCAGTTTCGTTGAGAACTGAACCGCTAGAAAGATTTCTGCGAATAATAATATACAAATTACATTTTTTTCATTTTTATTATATATCGTGACACGTTCTAATGTATTGAATCGAGCATTGGGCATAAAAAGCAAAAATGAAGTACCAACATTATCTATTCGATGAAATCACAAGACTATAAAAGATTGAAAGTTTAGATTCAAATAACAGTAAGAACAAATATGATACAAACATGATTTATAAGGGTTAATTTTATTTCTCGATTCATTGACCACAGATTATAAGAAATTGATGATTAATTCGGTAAGAAATTCAAACCTTTCGTGATTACGGTACAAATCTATTTTTTTGTAATCACTCGATATAATAAATAATAATTCACATTATTTATCTTGCTTAGAATATATGTCATTATATAATATAACTATGTGCAAAAATATTAAACACTTATAATTTTCTCGCATTTTATGAAATGTTAAGTATTTTGGCGAAAAGTAATCTTAGAAAGATTTTCAATCATACATTTTAAAGTATAAGTGGTGCTTAAATATGTGTTCGAATCTTTTGTCTGCAATATTTGTTCCTAAGTTAAAATTGAAGAACTATATCTTTGCAATACTTTTGTCTTACTTTAAAATGTTATAGTTTGCAATGAAACATCAGCAAACAAAAATTTAATATGAAAGTGACTGAAAGTAGACTTCTGAAGCTTCAAAATGTCTTCTGAAAAAATTTTTCACAAAAATATTGTATTTTTTATTATATGAAATCGTATTGGTATAGGGTGTTTCCATAATCTATACATCAGTAGTTGGATTGCCTATCAACAGGGGCACGCTCTACTGGTAATGCAGAATAGCATTAGATTGCAAGAGAGTCCGGGGAATAAAACAAGATAAATTGAATTTAATTCTGGTATAGTATAAGATTCAGTAATATTATATAAAATATGTATTTCATAATACAAATAATGTCTGACTTAATCTAATATAAATGACATTTAA